ATTTTATATTTATTACGGCCTTCAAATTGAAATGATAATAATAATAATAATAATAATAATAATAATGGCATTTAGTTGATTGCTCCAGAAAAAAAAAAAATTTTTTTTGTATTTTTTCTTTTTTTTTCTCCTACACGTGGATTCGAATCCATTTTGTTTTGTGTTTTGCTTTTTTTTTAAATAATTCCTCGTGTTTTATTATTATTATTATTATTGTGACTTTCTCATTCTCTTGGGTAAAGCCCCATTCGATGTAGTTCAATTACGTAATAATAATAATAATAATAATAATAATAATAATAATTACAAAGAATTTCATTTAAAAGAAGTCAAGAAATAAAAAATATTTATATTTAATCGCTTTCGGTTAAAATTTTTTATTTATTTTTTGAAAAAATTATTATTATTATTATTATTATTATTATTATTATTATTATTATTATTATTATTATTTTATTACAAAACCGTTATTGATAAGTCTTATTCCACGTGGGGAGGTGTAACGGTTCGGATCCCTAAAAAAATTTTTTTTTTAATTTTCCTCGGATAATTTTTTTTAAACAAATAATTCTAAATCGCGACCACGTTCGAATCCTCTTTTGACGTCATTTATTAACCGGAAGTCATCGTAATAAATTTTTTCCGAACGAAAATTTATGCGATTTAAATTTTGATTTCGAGATGATGATGATGATGAATTTTCCGATTGATTACGTATGAAAATAATAAATTTTCCAAACTCGGTCGATTCAAATCTTGTTAATTTTACATTAATTACGACGAGTAATAAATACACCGTTTAATTACAACATAACACGCAATTACGATGTTAATTATTATTATTATTATTATTATTATTACGTGAGAAAAACGACGTACACGATGCTCCAATTCATTTTATTTATTGTAATAATAATTTATTGACACAACAATTTGTAAGGTCAAAAAGACGACGTCGTAAATCATAACAACTCTATATTATTATAGTCTATATGAGTATTTAAACGTATGAAAATTATTAACGGCAATCGTTGTAGTACAATAATTAACATTTAACGGTAGCAAATTTTTTTTTTTACAAAGAAATAAATAATAATAATGATAATGATAGAGATTAAGTTATCAGATGACGAAATATAAATAAAATATAGAACGGGGAGAGTCAGTCTCCATGATAAAAAAAAAAAAAAAATTCGATATCGTTCATTTTTTTTTTTTAAATATTGCGATAGAAAAATTGTAACTCGTCTCAAAATCGAAATTTTATTAAAAAAAAATACAATATCGAAAGGTTGTTACGTAATTAATCGATCGATCGATCGATTGATCGATCGGTAGGTGGAAGATGTCATCGATGTAAAGGAAAAAATGAAAAAATTTTTTACATTCGTTTATATTCGTCGTGACGCCAATTATAAAATTATTATTATTATAATTATTGATCACGATGAACGTCACGTAATGGACAAAAACACAATATTAAAACCCACGTGGCAGAAGAATTAAAAAAGACGTTCGCTTTTTTTTTACTTTTTAATACGGTGAACGTAACTATCGATTCAAACAAAAATTTTTCCTTTTTAAGAATCGATTATTTAGAAGTAAAAAAAATATTTCGCGGTTGCAAAAAAATTATTATTATTATTATTATTATTATTATTATTTGTCGTAAATGTAATTCGTCGTGATTATAAAAAAAAAAAAAAATCAATTCACGTTTCTCCAGTTCACGTAACCGCAAAATCAAAAAAAAAAAAAAAAAAAAAACAAATTTTTATCTTTCTTAAATAATTTTTTTAAGGGAAAATCTATACGACAACCTCCATTTTTGTTTTTTTTTTTTGATAAATATTAAAACTCGACTGAAATTTCAGGTACGACAAAAAAAAATTTCGTTCGTATCACAGGTAGCAAAAATAACCAAAAAAACAAACCAATCCCGACCGATCGCAATAGTCTTACGATTAAACGAATTTTCACGATTGTAAATCAATTATGACGTCATAAAAATGGCGACAACGACATTAATTGATTATATATATTATTTATATTAAAATTTGATGACATTCAAATATTCCAAAGGTTGGTCGGACATTGTAGGTCGTTCACACTTTTTTTTAGGCTTTTATTGAAACAACAACAACAACAACGACAACGACAATAACGTATCAATTAAATAGAATGTTTTAAAATTAATAATTTTTACGACTTTCTCAAACAATTTTTTCGGTTTTTTTTTTTTTTTTTTCATTTTACCGATCAATTAAATTACAAAATAATATTAATAATAATATAAAAATCCGTCCTTGGTTATTTATTGAACGGAAAAAGAAAAAAGCAATTAATATTATTATTATTATTAACTGTTTTTTGTGTAGTATTAAATTTTACAATAAATTTGTCCTCGCACTCATTAAATAAATCTCGTTTATAATAAATTTTAGTACAAAAAAACGAAGTCGCATGTCAAAGCTCAAGGTTGTAATAACGAAAATAAAATAATTGTTTTAATAATAATAATAATAATAATAATAATGATAATAATGATAAGTTAAGTTTAAAAAAAAAAAAAAACGTTTTATTTTAAATCGTATTGGAATGAGAAAAAGGTGAAAAGAAATTATTAAGGAGAAAGGAATTGATTGATTGATTGATTAAATTGTATCGATGGGTAAAAGTACGAGGAATAAAAATTCGAGAATGTTCTTTAAAAAATGATTGATTGATTGATTGATTAATAAAATGAATTTATTAAAAAAACATTTTTGACTCCGAAAAAAAATTTACGATTCCGTTCGATAATTAATAACAAAATTATTTATTATTTTCGACCGATGACGTCACACATTAAAATTTTTCCCATGCCGTTTCACCTTCTCTCACGGATACTACCTTTTTTTTGTTTTCCCACCACCACAACCCCCATAAATTTCCCTACCCAAAAAAAACCATAAATTTTTCAAAAAACAAAGATTTAAATTATCGGTTTTTTGTCGGCTTTTTCGTACGGCGTAAAACAAACAAACAACAACAACAATAACAATTACAAACGATAATAATAACAAACTAATGATAAATCCTACCATGAAAATGAAAGTAATATTATTATTGTAAAAAAAAATTGTCCTCAAATGAAATTTGACCTTGATAAGTAAATAAGGGCAACCAGGTACACACATATATATAAATCCAATGAGAAAACCTAAGCGAACCTTGATTGATTACACATATTATAAATTGTCATTACAAAAAAAAATGTGTTTGTTGTTGTATTTGTTGATTCCTGTGTGTGAGCCATTTTGCTCACTGATAATATTTCCATTCGATGTAAAATAATAATAATAATAATAGAAAATGGTACCTATTAAGTTTTTTTTTTAAACAAAAAAAAATCAAAGGTTTTAAATTCATAATAATTACGACGTCGTTTGATTATTATTATAACTACAACAAAGTAAAAAAAAAAAAACTACAAAAGTAGTCGTTATCGATACTAGTTGTAGGTTATTGTTTTTATCATGTTTTATAAATAAAATTGATGTGTAATTATCACGTGGTAATGATTCTGATAAATCAACACTACAATGATAATTATTATTATTATTTGACCCGTAATAAAAATACAAACTACAATTGTAGTGATGTCATTCATTGATGAAAGAATGCGTTTTTTATTTAATTACTAATCATAACCGTCGAGTTTAAATAAAAAAAAAAAAAAAAGTTATGAAATGGGTTTAATTACAATCGATTTGTAGTAATATAATATTACGTGGGAAGTTTTTCTTTTTTTTTTCTCGTATTGTTGTTGTTGTTGTTGTTTTAACATAATTTTAAGGTTAAATTCGGACACGTGGGGGGCGTTAAATCAAGGATTCGAAGGAAAGAAAGAAAAAAAATTTTTTTCTCTGTTTCTCATATCTTTCGTTCGTTCGTTTGTTCCCATTGAATTTATTATCATTATTATATATAAAATTTTTAAAAACGGATAAAATTGCGGTCTGACCTTTGCGTATTCGAAGAAAATGGGAAAATTTAATTAAATGAAAATTATTATTAATAATCGATCGAATGAAAAGTAATATAATTATTATTGTAAAATAATTAATTTCGAGTCACGTAATAAAATCGGGCAGACATATTGATAATAATGATATTGAAACAAAAAAAAAAAAAATAAACTCGGGAATTTCCGTTTGACTTTCTTTTTATTAATAAATAATTTTAGAGTTAAAAAAAAAAATTATAATTTCGCACATCCGCCATTATTGTTTTGTGTGGAATTTAAATGACAGGGGAAAATGGCGACGTTCGATCCTGGAGAATGGGATAAAATTTTTTTTTTTTGTTTTTAGGCTCATTCCAAGCTTTATCGGTTTGATATTTATTAGCGGGATAGCATTGACTTCATGCGAAATCGAAGTCGTACATCAGTGGAATTTGTTACCTTTTGAACTTCCGCACGATTATCCAATAAATGGCGGTTACATACCACAAAACATCGTATTTACCGGTACGGAAGTCGGATGGAGTAGAATATTTCTTGCCATACCAAGGTTACGTCTTGGAATTCCAGCAACTCTCGTTTCCATACCAAGAACTCAACCAGGTGTTACCACCTCTCCGGTTGTCAGCGTAATTATCATTTTCTCTTATAATTATTTTTCTTATTTAAAATTAAACAAACCGAACAAAATGAATGATATCATTTTTTTTTTTTTACGTTTAGGCTTATCCAAACTGGGATTTCCACAGTTCTTCCGGTAGAGGAGTTAATTGCAGTGGATTGATTTCCACGTACAGAATCAGAGCCGACAGATGTAACAGACTTTGGGTTTTGGACAGTGGCGTATCCAACAGTATCGATGACTTTACAACTGTTTGCCCGCCTAAAATATTGATTTTCGACATGAGTACCGATCAATTGGTAAAAAGTGTTACTTTCCCAAGGTACTTTCCCCCCTTTTCGACTGGTCTCATATGATATTATTTCCCTTGAAATTTTTAATTTAACGTTTTTGTTGTAGAGAAGTGATAAGACCAGCTTCTTTATTTACCAATTTGGTCATTGACGACTTGACCGGTTACGGATCCTGTGACGATGCTTTCGTTTACATATCAGACACTGCAGCTCCCGGTATTGTAGTTTACGATGCTAGAAAAGATGCTGCTTGGAGATTTTCTCATCCTTCCATGTATCCTAATCCAGATTATTCGACTTACACCGTTAGTATTATCATTATTAATTTTTTTATAAAATTTGTCGGAAATCACAACGAAAAAAATTTTTTTAGATTGCCGACGAATCTTTCACTCTCACCGACGGTATAATCGGATTGGCTTTATCTCCACCATCAGCAACAGCATCCAGAGTACTCTATTACCAACCTTTGGCCACCGATAGAATATTTTCCGTTCCTGTAAGCTTTTTGCAAGCCGGTCCCAGCACGGATGATGTACCTGTTCAAACGATCGGTAGAAAAAGTTCTCAAGGTGTCGGTCTTGCCGTTGATCCTCACGACGGATCAATTTATTTCAGTCCGATAGAACAAACAGCCGTCGCCAGTTGGCAACCAGGAACCAACAGAAACCAGTGGGTTTTCCTTTTCCTTTTTCTTCCTTATTAATAATAATAATTTTTTTTTAAACAAAGGATTCATTTTTTATTTTTCTCTCTCTTACCATTAGAGTTTTGGCCTACGATCCGGAAATACTTCAATTCGTAAGCGAATTATTAGTCGCTTACAGAGACAACGGAAATCTTTGGTTGCTTTCTACGAGATTTCAAAAATTTTTCAAAAGGACGGTTGATCCAAGAGAAATTAATTTGAGAATAATGAGACTCAACACTGCCGTTCCCTTTAATAATTTATTAACATTTAAAAAAAAATAATTTTTAACGGGATTAAAAAAAAAATAAGAAGAAAAAAAGAAAAAAATTAAAAAAAATTAGTCAAAACCGCGAACAGAAAAATAAAAAAAAAATTTAAAAAAAATTTTTTTTTTGCCATTAATTAATTAAACAAAATTAGTCTTTATTTAGATTTTAAGAAGAAAATTTTTTAAATATATTTTTTATTTGTAATTATAAAGACGAAAAAAATGTAACAATATTATAAATTAAACAAAAAAAAAAAACCAAAGGAAATTTTCTCTCTATGTGTGTATGATACGTTTATTAAAAAATAAAATTGTTGCAATTAAATTTTTTTATTTTTTACCGCGTTTTGTTTTTTTTTTTTTTTTCATTCATAAATTTTCAATAATTATTAAAAATTTATTAATAAATAATTACATGATTAATTAATTAAAAACATTTTAATAATAATATTTTGTAAAAAAATTTAAATTTTATTATCGATAATTTAAAAAAAAAAAAATTATAAATAAATTCGTGTAAACAATTTATTTGTTTATTAAGAAAAAAAAATTTTTTTTTTATTTTTATTATTACGTGTCGTTTTATCAAAACAAATATTACCACGTGTAATGATAATAATAATAATAATAATAATAATAATAATAATAATACGTTAAATAATAATGGGTTAAAACGTTGGAAAATTCAAGTTTCGTTCGTTAAATTTACTTTATTTTATTTTATTTTATTTTTTATCATTTTTATTTATTTAAAAATAACAAAAAAAACTGCTTAAATTAATAACAATAATCGATAAAGGATCGATCGATTATCGATGTTTAAATTTTGTTTATTTGAAGAGTTTTTCCCTTATTTTATATTTAAAAAAAAATTTTTTTTTTTCTTTATATTTTGAGTATTTTTCCTTTGCAATAATAATTTTCTTATTTTTCCCTTAACTAAACAAAATATTATTTTCATTAACGTTATCATTTATTATTATTATTATTATTATTATTATTATTATTATTATTATTATTAATAAAATTTTAAAAATATCGCTTTGAAACGTTTTTTAACTGCGCATTTACCTGTTTTTTTTTTTTTTTTTTTTTTTTTTTAAATTATCATAAAATTCAAATTACTAGATGATGAACCGTTAGGATGACAATTTTGAAATGACGTCATTATTTTATCTGACGTCAAATATTTTTAAATATGGGAAATTTCGCGTTAATAAGAAAAAACAAAACAAAAAGAAAACATAAATAAAACAAAGAAAACATATTTCTTGTTATTCGTTTCTTTGTTTAGATAAATTACAATCAAATTAAAATCCGAAGGAAACAATTGCCGCCATTTTGTTTTCCGTTTTTTTAAATTAAATCAAATTAAATTTTTTTAAAAACACTCTATGACTTTGTGTTAAATTTCAAGGTTATAAAAAAAAAATCGTTAAATTTTTGTTTTGATTTAAAAAAAAAAAAAGAAGACTTGAAATGACGGAAATGATCATTTTAAAAATCATTAAACCGTAAAAAAAAAAAATTAATTTAATTTTTTTTTAATTAAATAATTCGTACGAAAATTCGATAGAGAAAAAAAAGATTAATGATAATGATAATGATAATAATGATGATTTTAATATTTTTTTTTAGTCTTGAGCATGAATTTTAAAATTAAAAAAAAAAAAAAAAAAAAAAAAAAAAAAAACGTTAAAAGAATTGTGAAGACGATTGAATATTTTTAGTCGATCATCAGCTTTCGAACATGTTACGTAACTTGTTGTCGTTTTTATTATTATTATTATTATTATAACGAAACCTTTATATATTTTATCATTATTATTATTATTATTTTCTTATTATTATTTTAAATATTAATAATAAATAGGTTTTAAAAAAAAAAAAACGTTAATAATGTCGGTTTTGTTTTTTTTATTATGTTTTTTCATTAGCGGTTTAAAATTTTGTTGGGGAGATTTAGACGTTGTTTATCAATGGAAATCCGTGGATTTTGAATTTCCAAACGATGGAATAAGAGAAAATTATTTAAATACTGGAGAATACGTACCTGGAACTTATGCATTACCGCTTGACGTAGACGTTTGGTACAAAGGTAAATATTTATTTATTATTTATTACTAATTACTCTGATAAATTTTTATTTTTTTTAATGAAAATTTGAAATTTTTTAATGTAATTTTTTGTTTTAAATGACACTCAGGTACAAATAAAAATTACCTTATTAATTTTTTTTTTTATAAGGGGGGGTAAGGTAACAAAAAAAAGAAACGTAATAACGAAAGCGGAAGAAATTTTTTTTGCAATAATTTAATGGAGTCCCCTTGCCAAAAAAATTTTAATAATAAATTTATTCGTTTTAAATAAACTTTCCAATTTTTTTTTTCGTCTGCGACTTATTAAAACTCTTAACATTTTCTTTTTTTAGAAAAAAAAAGAAAAACACGATAATGTACGGCCTTGGACTTAGTTTTGTTGTCCGGCCAATATTATTAAATTAATTAATTATTTATTCAATTCGAAATATATTAACATTTTAATTTATTATTATTATTATTAATAATTTTTTTTTACATGTGTGCGACTCATTCGTTAAAAAAAAAAAAAAATTTACAAATTTTTATTTTACTTTTGTTTGTTCAATAAGAAAATATTTGCTACAGTTCAAATTAATTCATTTCAAAATGGCGTCTTGTGTTGTTTTTCTTTTAAATAAATGATTTAATGTGGTGATGAAATTTTTCTTATTATATTATTATTAATTTTTGCTATCGATAATAAACATTCAAGGTTTTGCTATTAAGAAAAATAGTTTTATATTTAAATAAATAAATAAATAAAAAATTAAATTAATAAAAAAAATCACTTTGTATCTTTTTTTCGTGTCTTTGTTATAGTAATAATGATGATGATTAAGGGATAATTTATTTAAGGACAAGAATTTATCCCTAAGGAATCGTGGATGAAAACCTGGAATAAATTCTGGAAAACATATAAAATTATATAAAAATGGTCAGAGATTCTTACTCCTGATGTTTTCAAAATAGGAAAAAAATAATTTTACATCCGACTCATTTTTTAAATGCCCCCCTCTTCTCCCCAAAAAAAAACGCGAGAAAAAAATTATGTATGCAACGGTTTGTGTTTAAATGTATAACCAAAAGCATAAATAAAATAAAATAAAATTAATAATAATAATAATCAAAATAAATATAATCAATGAATATAAATAACTTAAGTCAAATTTACAAAAAATAAGGAAATAATAATAATAATAATAATAATAATAATAATAATAATAATAATAATAATAATAAAATTTAATGGGATTGGAAAGCCGAGAAAACAAACGAGAATGAAAAACAAAATTTTTTTTTTTTCGTTTTCATAATTTTCCCGTGAATTTTCTTTTGCAAAAAAAAAAAAATTTTTTTAAATTATTCGATTCGCATCAATAAATTATTATTAATAATTATTTATTAATTAATTTAATAATAAAATTAATTAATGTAATGATTCCAAAGTTATGTTGTGAAAATT